AATGTGAACAATTTCCAACACTGAAAATGTATTTCTGATAGATACCTCCTCTCATATTTAGCTTTCCAAATTTGGTGCCGCCCTCTATATGTGAACTTTTTTGTATGCCACAAATTTTGAGGCTTCCATGTAATCTCATGTGATATTGCTGCATTGTTGCATACAAAAAATCATGGAATAACCCTCCACCAATAAGAGTGCGACTGGTTTGGTTTGTTTTGAATTTCGCACAAAGCTACACGAGGGCTATCTAATTTAGCAGTATAAGACTAGTCAACACCACCCACCAAATCTTGGGCTACTCTTTTACCAACAAATAGTGGGATTGACCATCACAATATAATGCACCCACGGCTAAAAGGGTGAGCATGTTTAGTGTGACGGGAATTCAAACCCATGACCAACAGATTGCGAGTCGAGCACCTTAACCACCTGGCCATGCCGGGCCTAAAAGTGTGACTGTTCGATCATCACTTCAAGATTGGGGAAGAAAGTAAGATACATCAAGGTGAGAGTCTATTGGAAATACATTTTCTGTGTTGGAAAATGTTAATATTTGACATGATATTTAACCTCTTCTCACATCTAGCTAGAATCCCATGTTGAAGTAGTGGAGGGAGTGGTGCAAAATTTTACCTAGATGAGCCCCTTTTGGAAATTACTTGAATAGAATCCGTGGAGTGCAGGATCCTATACCTTGGAACAATACAGAGGCACATTCATGGGAAACTGCACACTGTATGTAACAGGGTACACTCTTTGCACAGAAAAGAAGGGAAGTGTTGCATGGATAGGTGAAACATACAAAGACAGTCCAAAATCTGCATCAAGCTATTGGAAGTGCTATATGGTTAGAGTGGCTAGGGCAAATCAAACTATGTGATGGGTCACCACCAGTGCAAAACCTGCAACACAAGGAATCGGACTTCTGGGTTGCAGAAGGAGAAGGGTCCCTACCATCTGCACCTCAAACCCAGTGAAGCAAAATGGGAAAGTAACATTCACCTTACAACTAAGTGAGAACTTATGTTGGCTGGTCTTGCACCAATTCAACACCAGACCATCCGCAAACCCAACTTCTAGATAGCACTCAGGAGGCAATGTCTATGGTCCACCACTCCAATGGCAAGATCTCCCATGCTCCACTAGAAGAAAAAAAGAAGGGAGTGGGAATGAAAGCACTGTGGTGAGTCCGGGTGAGCACCTCACCATAATACAGTACAAAGGGTGACCACAAAAACCCTATTTTTAAAAGCAGGCCAGCACTAAGTTTTAAATTAGGCATGGAGGATGGAAAAAAATGCCCTGCCTTCTTTACTCTTGCTAGTTCATGAGTTGGTATAGTCTGGATCAGGCCTTGATTAGGAAATTGAGTTCTACAAGGATAACTTTTATGGATTTTGGTTAAAAAAAACTTACCCAGTCAGAGATGTTAAAATGTATAAAGAATAGTGATCAGAGGCAGTCTACAGCCCAATTAGGAAGAAATGGTCAGATGATGGATATAGTATGTGACAAACGTGAGAGGTAGTCCACATGCCAGGCTAAGTAATTTCCTCCCAAGAGTCAACAAAAATACACTAAACAGATAAGTTATGAGACCCATCCAGTAAAAAGAATAGGAGAAAGATTGAAAATGGATGAAGTATTCCACAGAATGAAGATTCAGAATCAGGAATTATGGAATAAAGAAGTACAGGCCAAATGAAAATGGACAGCACAAAGAGAAAAGAGAAGGTGATCTGGAGATGAACAGAAATAAAGTTGAGAAATGAAAACCACAAAGAAGCTGAGAGAGCTGCCCAGTAACCATCAATAGTTAAGACGGACAAGTTCTGGTCAAAAAGCCATGAGAAGAACAAAGGAAGATGGGGAAGAGAAGGGCAAGAAGATTGAGAAAGATCAACACAGAGATCAGTGGTGATGAATATTCCACTTTTGTTGATAAACTTTTAAGGCAGACAGGCAAGTAGAATGGGACAAAAAGAAGGTTACCCATGAAGTGAGGTCCAACTGTTATGCAATGGATGTGTGAAGCTGGAGTGATGACAGCTGTATGGAAGAGAGAAGTACAAGGCTGAAGAAGAAGGGAGTGGGAGAACAGAAGAGGAAGAGGAGGAGGGGGAAGTCAAAAGGCTCAGCAAAGGAAACCAATACTGAGCCGCCAATAGGCGCCACCAGAAAGACCGAACAAGACGTGTCCTGAAGGAGGGAGAAAACTCGAGGGTAAGCACAAAGGAAGAAATCAGACCAGTCCTGATTGAATGCATCCACCACAAATGTAAAATAGGAGAAGCTTGGCATTATCTTAATTGGCAAAGGCATCAATGTAAAGAGTGCCCAGACGAGAGCAAAGCCATTAAAAACATGAGGATTGAGGACCACTCCATACAAAGGATCCTGAGAGAGGTTCTACTGATCATGTAGAGTCTACTATAAAAAATGTATGTGAGCACAAACCAAGTGGATAAAGGGTTCCAAGGAAACCCAAGACCCCAACAGATAGAGAGCCCCTCATGTAGGAAGAGAAATAGAGGAAAGAGTTGTGGAATCAAAGCCTTCCATGGCCTGCCAATACAGTGGAGAAGCCTATACCATGCTGAAACAAGAAGTGAAAAACACACTCATGTGAATCAGATACAGGGTGAGAGTGAGATGGCATTTCTCCAGCGTGACCAGCCATTTTAGATGAGCCACCTCCTGAAGAAGGAGAACAGTATGCTTGGAGGAGTCCTAATTATCCATATAATGGCAAAATCCAAACTGTGAATGTGACGAGCAAAGGCATGCACTATGCAACAAAAAACTTATGGGGGCTAATGACACCACACCAAAACAAAGAGCTCAGAATTTATAAACTCAACTATGATGTACAGATTAATGATAAAGTCTGGATGCTGGGGAGATGAGAATGTGAAGACAAGCATTGGAGAAGTTTATTTTAGTTATCCAAAGCCTCAGAGAAAAATATCACTGAAGGGATGAAAAAACTCACCAGGTTAAACTAAGGTCAAGAAACTGATGTAGACATGAAAGAATGATGACAAGGTGTCATTCCTTGATGTACTGGGGAACAACAAACAGATGGGAATAAATCAAAAGAAGGATAAGAAACCCTTTCAACAGCATCCTTGGCCAAAGGGTCTGACACTGCCTCAGGAAAACAATACCCTGGAAGAGAGAAAGGAATGGAGGAGGAAAAGTAAAACAGACAGAACCTATAGCCCTCAACATTTGGGCACAAAATGAATCCCTAGATTCACAATCAAGTCAAACTAGCTTCACTGTTCCAGAGCCTTCTAGAGGACAGGCACTGATGAGATTGTTGGTGCTACAATTAGTGGAAGAATGGATGTGAGAAGAGGAATGGAAAGGAACCAGTAGGATGGGATAAAACAACTGAAAGAGAAGGGGCACTGGAAAAAAGAAAGCTGGAACACAAAGGTGATCAAGAAAAAATGATGGCATGTGGCCTCAGTCCGTGACTATAAACAATCAAGTACCCCCACCAAAAACTCATAAGCAGAGGAAAAGAGGCAGATGAAAGTCCCTGAGATAAGAGAGAGGTAAATGTACACAGCCAAGAAGGGCTTCCCTCCCCAACAAATCCCACCAACAGAGTAACCAAGTTAGAAAGGAAAAAGCCGAGTAAGACAAATGCACCAACATAGAAAATACATATGAAATGAGTGTCCACCACAAACCCCCTCAGAGGAGTGATAGATTTCTTCCAAAAGGAGATGGATGGAGGATAGATAACATAAAAGGATAGTAGAATGTTAGGCAAAGGCAAGAAACCGAGTTTGAGAACTCCAAGGCTTAAGAAGAGACTTCAAAGTTTGGAAGTCCAAGGAAAGAGCTTTAGCCTGATTGTAAACCAAGACATATGTGTCAACCAGTTGAGGAGGATGAATCATATCAGCACCGGAGTGAAGTTGAGACAAAAAAATTTTCAACATGGACTTGGTTATCAGGGGAAGGAGGAAAAAAATAATTCTGAAGAAGGGGCCGAACAGAGAAGGGAAAATGAAGAATAATAAAAGATAGGAGGCAGTGAAAGAAGATAACCTAACTGAGAAGTCATGGAAGGATGCAGAATGTCAAGGTAGATCCACAGCTGGAAGAATTGTTTGCAAATTTAAGTGGTGGCAAAAGCCTGCCTAAAATCCAAATCCTCACTGACAAGAATCCTAAGAGAAGAAAAGACCATATTATAGCCTGAAAAAGGCTCAGGCCATATGCAAGACCCCACCTCCAGCTGCACAATGGTCATCACATCTTACAGACAAAAAAGCACCCAATTCTATTTGTTAGTCTACCTACAGTGAACAAAGTCCAGATGTTCAACACTTTACAGCATGGAAATGACCATCTCTATGTAATTTGTGTTGTGAAAAATATGAGCCACAAAGTCTGCATAGGCAGAATTGTTTGAAAATAAAAACACACTTGTACATACTTCAACCAAACATTGTTGTTGAGAAATCTCACATTAGCAAAAACAAAGTCTTAACACATAAGTGCCATTCAAGAAGTGATGATTGAACAATCAATTTAGGGACAGCCATCTGTACTAGGAGGCAGTGTTGCACTCCTATTGGTGAAGGATTGTCACATGCTCATTTGCATGCAACAACACAGCAATATCATGTGATATTAGATGGGAGTCTCAAGACTAGTGGCAAGCAAAAAAGTCTGCATATAGGGAGAAGCACTGAATTGGAACAGCTAGATGTGAGAGGAGGTTACATATCAGAATATTTATTTGATGATACTTTTAAAACTGGTTAAAAATATTTTGACGTAGCATTTATTTTCCAGGATGCTTAACCACATTACAATTTTAAGATATTTTCAAGTCCAGAAATTGAATTTATAAATTTCAGAGTTTTTAAGGATTTTGTTTTCATACCCAGTATATAAACACTCATAAATATATACAAGACTTGTTAAACCTTTGAAGAAAATATCAATTATCAATAAAGATTTTGAAGGCTTACTCATTAAGTCTTGTTGTGAGTTCTCCACTCTGGTGTTTGTCAAACCAGCCAATTTCTTGTCGCATGATTTCATAGAAGAATTCTTGGCGGAGTCTATAAACTTGTCGTTCACATGCAAGCATCCAACAAACAATCTAAACAGCAATCCAATAAGACACTTGTGATAAAATAACATAAGCACTGACAGACATACAATATTTCACTACAGCCTACACTTTTTACATGTAATACTTACATAAAACAGATTTTAACACAAAACCTTTAGCTCATCACTAAAACAATATCAAAATTTACTATGATGCTCACTGATATACATAACAACACAGAAAGAATTTGTAAACATAATGGGTATAATATGAACCACCAACACTAAAATTACTTTTCTTTTTTTTCTTCTAAAGTCAATACACAATAAAAACATATAGATGGCTGTGAGCGATCGCAAAACATTACATTTTAACTTATTGAGAATCATAATACAAAATTTTCAGGTTAAACCAAAGGTAATACATATCAAATTTAGTTTTGGAAGAAATTATGAAGATATATAACTTACATCTATCATTTATATTTCTTTAAATAACACTTCCTCAAAATATCTGTGAAAAACTTTCAGAAGAAAACAAACTTGCACTGAAAAAAATGGACTTTTATTCTTAGTTTGAATAAAATGCTTTAAATTTATAACTGTCTAGAAATTCAATTTCTTAATCTTTTAATTTTTTGCATAGCTTTACTTCTGCAATGATTATATTCAGGTTTACATAGATCAGATATTTATTTGGTGTCTTTTTCACAGAAAATTGTACCAGTAAACATCACTGCAAGTACATGTAGATAAAGCCCAAAGTTCAACAGTCATAATGAACTTATGACAACAAGCAAGGTGTTATCTTTTAATGTGCACTAACAATGTTATATTGACTTATTGCTTTATGTCTCAATGGCATCACATGTACATAAAACAAGATCATTTCCTAATTTTGTTATCTTTTTCTTTTGTTGAATGAAAACATGATAACTTATATCTAACATACACATGTATTATATGTATCAAAAGCTGATGCACAAGTCTCCATAAACAGCTACTAGTACAATAGTTAAGCCTAAAATGCTAAAAACAACATTTGTGTAAATACATTAACCATTGAGGCATGATTTTAATTTTATCCAACTTTTACAGTAACCAACTTCCACCATATAATCGATCTTGAAAATAAGATGCTATAAAATAATTTCATCTGTCAAACAGGAAATTTCACATAAAAAATTGATTTAATATAACTTTTAATACTTATTTGCATTCTGTTCATAAAATATTACTTTTATTATAAGTGACTTTTAATTACATACAAAAAAATATTACAATACTTTAGTTGACAGATGAAATACTCATAAAACCTTTCAATATTTCTGCCTGGGCCTAGTATTTCAACAAAAATTTGTAGCACACACTTGTACATATGTTTTACAGATTTACAAGAAACTTTAGTTACCAAATTAACCAGTACAATAGTCAGTTTGTTATTCCAACACTTTTTTAGATATTTTTGCATAAAATTGAATAGTTCCCAGAAGTTTGAATTTATTTTTAAGGAGCATTCACAACATATTCAGATAAAAAATTATCAATTAATCACTCAATGACTTTACACCACAATAAACTCATTAACAATTAGCTATTATGCTTAGAATTCTAGAGCAACTGATCCCTTTAACAGAGCCATCTTATGTTAAATGTTTGCAATTATTACACATGTATTAAAATAACTAACATACGTCTAACCTTTTATTATTTATATGGCACTATCTAGTCCTCTGGAAACTTAAAATTTTATGTTTTCACCTTTGGTAATGTTTAACTACTTAGTGTTAGGTTTGCAGTTTAGGATTATACAAGATTTAATTCCCTTTTTTAATTAATATCCTATTTATAATTGTTTTAATTTCTTTTCCAAGTGAAACTGTTTTACTCAATATGTTTCATAAGCAATTTTTAAGGTCCATCAAGAGAGTAGTGGATTCATTAGTTGCTTTTTAATGTACAGCAACTGGGACTACCAATTTTGCAGTTTATTTTTATTCTGTTCATCTATATTTTTCTCTTTAGGTTATGTAGAAACATAAAAGTTCTCATGAAGAAAATTTTTAAACAGCTAGATGACAAGGATTTGTTTTATTTTTTTGTCATGGTAATAGGCAACTATTTATCAAATTCATAAATGTTCATTCACAAACCATTCATTCTAAGATAAACATTTAGTTTAACTCTCACATAAACACTAACTGGTATCTTTTCTAATTAACCAAAAATGTTCTCATAACAAATTGTACGAGAAAGGAAAGATGAGTAGATACATGCTGACCGACGCATAACTTTTACTTTCTTAAAATTAAAATGAATTTCCAACAGGTTTTCTCAAATACTAAAAGCATTTCCATGTTAAGTTTGAATTCATGCTGTCATCAAAACATGTGACTCAAAATTTCCAAATGTCCTTTACATATTTACATACAATATACATCACTTACTCACAATACTCCACTATCCCATCTGATGAGAATAGATCAGTGGATCTCACTTAAAATTTGCTTGATGAAATATTGTTGCGGAGAAGCAGGAGGTATTTCAGGAGTAAGTACTTGTACTAACTTCATTTTAGTTCTTGAAAAATATAACTAAAATCAAGCAGATTTACCACTGAAATACAAAAAGCCAGAATACCCATATTGTAAAGGAGGTAAGAATCAACAAACCACAACTACAGGGCAAGAAGATACACTATCTAAACTACAAAAAAACTGTAGCCAAGCACAATCAATAGAATCCAGAATAATAAATAAATTATTATAACTAGATTTTAGGAAGAATGAGTGGAGCCTTATAGAAAAAGAGATTGGACATGGACTCTCAGAAACAACACATTCTTCTAAGCAAGGTACCTTTTCTATTATGATGCTCTGGTTGATAGTTGCACAGGAATCAGTTTTGTGACAAGTAACTGTGTAAAGCACTGGTAAAGCCAACAGTGGGATACAGGTGGTAGCATTAACACATAAGAGAAATACTATGTCCTGCTTTTGCATGAACGGTTCTCAGGGGAGCTGCACAAACACGTATTATAAAACTAAATATCCAGAGGCAAACCATATCCAAGTTGGTCTGGGAGTCACAAACCAAATAATTAGTGGGAGCTCTGCAAGGACAGTGCAACAGGAACATTAAGGCATTAACTAAAATACATCAGATAACTCCAATGATGGTTGGAGTGGAGTGATTAAGTGAAATCTCTAATGGGACACAAAGACATGCATGAAAATATGAGAAAGGTATCTGCTGAGGCATCATCAGCCAACAGTTGGCACCCTTAGTCCATTTTCAAATGGTACCATCCTCTCAGAAAGCTCCAGCTTAACCCTTTTGAGACAGGTCACAGGTGAAAGGCCATGTCATCTTGTTTGTTGACTTGCATTCAAAATTTTATTGAACCACTATTTTATGAATTTATGTCAATAAGTTTGGTATCAACCTGTAGATTATAATTCAAATTTTAGTACTGTATATTACTCAATTTCTTAGTTTAAAGCAAATATTAAAAAAATACAGATAAACATTGATTTTTATGTGTCACGTGGTATGTTGAATGCAGCAAATTCAAATTAGATGTTTGTGAAGTCAAAATACTAAGTCTATAGTTTCAAACAAATTAGAAACTCAAATTACCAATACTGACAAGCTAGAATGTAAAATTAGGGCCTCTTATCTTTTCAATTTGCTAAGATATTACTCATGTAATAAATCAAACACAGTGGCACCCCGCCCACTCATTTCCATTTTTTGAAATGCTTCCTTATGTATGCTTACTTCTATATATGACATGAATAACCAATCAGAAGCTCAGAATGTCTCCCTAGTGGCTTTCTCAGCCATTTCTTTATTTTGAACCAATATTTCAAGGAGGTAGGGTATATCTTTAGTCTGCTTGAAATTTCATATTTTTTTAGACTAAATTTTTACTTAGTTACTAAGCTTGATAAATTATAGTGGAATTCTATGGTATTAATGTAGTAATTCATAATTTTTAGTTATTGAAATGTATATATATATATATATAAAACCTAGAAAAAAAATTATTTTGTTTCATATCCTCCACATGCAATTTTTTTAAAGGCTTAGCAACCTACATCAAGCAGCAACTGAGTACAAAGGTCGTAACTAAAATATATAATTATTTGCTTTACTTCTTTATTTACTGTTATATGTTTTAAGAAAAAGAAGTTTAAGAACATATTTCAAAATAGCAATAATCTAGGTACATATACAATGTATAATAATTGAAATGTCACTGTATTTTACAAAATATTAGTCTGCTAAAACACAGCCAAGTCAGGTCATTTGTAAAGATTAAAGGTCAGTTATATATTATTGGATATGGTAACAAGAGAGTACATGTACCACATCATTGTAACTTCTGTACTGTTAGCCAGGCATGGCTGAAAGGTCAATATAATAA